TGATTTTCTACCGCTCTTCTCCTAGATAACTAGTCCATGTGGATTGGTAACTTAGGATATATAGTTGACAACTTACCTAACCAGACCTAAGACCCCTGATGAACGCTGGTCGTTATGGTCAACTGAAATCGGAGGGGTCACTTGTCGTAATGTTCCAACTGTTTGTCACTCTATTCCTTTTCTCAACAAGTTGAATTCGAGAATAATTTTCAACTAATATCTTGAGTCTTCTTTTTCTTTCGGCCTCTATCTCCCTTCCCATTTTGTTATGGTGTGTTAAACTGTTATTGTAGGTCGGGTAACTATCTATTTGTTTGTTGATTGTAATACAGGCTTGTAAAATTTATCCCACGACAACATCTCATGAATATCTCGCTTTTCATCCCGCACCATCAGCGTTGCACCTCATGAGAGCCACCCCTCGACTGACCCTGGACTTTCCACACTGATGTTTCATCTTGTGAGGAGACGGGACTGTACCAGATACCAACACGGTAGTTCTTCTGTCCGCAGAAGTTACAACCATTTCTCAAGGATCGGCCTGCTCGCCCAATGTTGCTCCGCTCTCGAGACGCCTTGGAGCTGGAGCCGAATTTCGGAGTAGGGGCGCCACAATCCCAAGATAGGGGACCTAAGATCTGCAAACCGAATGATTTCTGTTTTTTTTTCTGCGAATGACTCTGTTCCATTGGTGGGGGGCTGCACCTGCTGAAAATCGGGTTCAATGTCCTTTTATAGCATTAAAAAAAAAACAAAATTATTGTTTTACGAAATTTACCCTTCTCCACATCCACATCAGATGAACCCCTAAATGAAGAGGGATCCAGTCGATTGGTCCAGGTGTTGTTCCCATGACAGAACCGACAACAGGAGGTCTTAGAGCTCATAGATGAGTCAATGATGTAGCTTTTGCAGTGGTTGTACACTCATGTGCCGTCTGTCCGAAGTCCCGTGTGAGTTGACACTCTTATCCTCATACCAGTTATTCACCTCAATGGCCTCAAAACGTCGAGTTGTCCCCATCATTTCCAGTGGTAGTAGAAATGGCGGGATGGTAGAGGATCGGGGGGTGGAAGTGGATCGGAAGAAGATGGTGGCCAGGGTAGCAGGAGGGAGGTAGGAGGGAGTTACTGCAGGGGGGCGAAGGGTCCATTGTGTGATGGGGATTCTAAGGGATCAAGAGAAAGTTGGTCGGGAGGTACGAGACTGCAAAGTCATCCACGGGTCTTTTTTGCCATGAGAGTTCGTCCGCCCTTCATTTTTTTCATCTTATGTTGAGGCCATCTTAGACGAGCAACTTGAAGAAGGCGTGGTGCAGATCTTGCCAGATCTGGCAGTAGGACTCCCGCAAAGCTTGACTCGTGATAGTCCTGCTTCATAGTCTTTCATGCATGTTATTTACAAGACCTAATCTCTTATTCTATCACCTGTTGTGCTTGCTGCAGACCAAACTGACATTTTTTTTCTCTCAAATGAGCACGGTGACTTAACTCTCCAGGCTTGCATGAGGATGTGTAGTCTTATATAGGAGAATATGTTAGTGGCGAATGAAGTCTACTGGGCTAGCAAGTATTGGTTTTCGCCCAGCAGAATGAGGCCCAGGTCCCATGGGATATGGATGTCCGTGAGTGAATGGAACGTTGTGTCCCACCACCTCCATATTTGGATAACCATCGGGCACGCCAACTGGCAGTGCTCGAGTGTTGCCCTGGTCGGTTGTGCTGCCCTGCCACAGTAGGTGCATATGGCGGACGACATGTCTTTCGGCTCAAGGTTTGTTCTTGAAACAAGCCAATTGGGGGTGGGAAGGCAGCGGTGTATAATTTGCCATCATAGGGATTTGTGGCTTGTGAGCATTATTTTGGAATACTTGGCCCAAGAGAGGTTGTTCAGAAGTTGTGGATTCACTGGTGAATCTCGTTCCCATCTTTATTTAATCGTTTGTGTAATTTGTTGTTGTGGGCGAATGGTCTGTACCCCTCTTTGACAGTGTAATCACAAACGTGCATGGTTTGTTGGCTCGTCCATTCCCAGTCGTTTAGGTCAAAGGGAAAACGGGCGATGAGTGTGGCAGGTTCGTATGCATGATAGTCGTTATCCTAGTCACCCACCACTGTCACATTCATCAGCCCCGCCCAAGGTTTTGTGGTATCCAAGCCTTTGTTTCAGGCCAGTTGAGAAAACTGCACTTCTATAATGTGCAGGGTGAAGGCTTCCAATGTGTAGCTCCTTCCTTCGGTGTTGTGCACACTGTAGACAATCGTCGGTGTGGGTAGGTCAATGTACCTAACCATCCAGTCATGTGGTCAAATCATCGAGTTGGTTTTGAGGGTTTGCCTTCAGGCTAGAGGGAGGACGTCTATTACTTGGCATACCTTATTCCTTACGTGCTTCAGCTTGGCCTGCAACTGCTCCGGTGTAGCCCACTTCTGCTCGACCGGATCCTAGAAATCACCAATTGTGTAGATTCCTTTCTTTGCCAAAGTGAGCCATGACGAATTAGTTGTGAGCAGAAGCGGGTTGCCCGCTTGGTCCAAGATGAAAGGATTATCAAATAGCGGTTGTTTCCATGTAAAGTGTCATCTATTGGGTGAACACTTTTATTTGAGGTCGCGTTTCCTCTACAGTTTTAGCATGTTTGGCTAGAGGGGGTCATGGGGGATGTCCTGCCAGGTGACCCACACCGCATCTGTCACATGCCTGTGTCGACGGGGGCCTGAGATTGTCCAGTGGTTGTAGGTCAACACATTGGAAGGGGTGCACCCGATTAGGGGGCACAAATTCGGGTGTCAGACCAGCTATATGCACACAGGTCAGGGGGGTTCATGGGATGTTGTTTCCTACAAGGAGTCTGGTTAGCAACTTTTAGCGTTTTGAAAATCATGATATCACTCTCCCGTTCAGGGTCTAGTATCCCCAGCTCCCTTTTGACTCTTGATTGTGTGAGGGTGTCTCAGCTCACCCTGCTCATGCAGCCTTCGGATTTGGTGGTGTTTTTCCATAGATACGTTGTGAGCACCTTTCTCAGCCTAATATATTGTCCTGGTTTCAGTGGCCACTCTGCCAGTTCGTATCATTTGGCCGCGAGAGTAACATTGTTCATTGCCAGTGCTCGACCCACCAGCAATGTGTGCAATCCTTCCCATCTTGCCAGGCGGTCAATGACCGTGTTCAGCAAGATATCCCCATGGTCAGGCGGAGGTTCCATTGCCGTTAGCCTCACTCCCTTAATTCTGATAGCGTTTGCTTTTCTCGCCCATGAATGCGGAGCGGGCAAATCTTGAGGGTGGAGCCACCAATCCTTTGTCTTAGAGCCCCAGTTCACTCTCTGCTGCCATTGAGAAAAAGTGTATGATTTGGGTTAGAGCCTGAAGGATGTTGGCGTCTGCACGTATGAGGACCGTGAGGTCGTCTGCGACGTCACTAGGATAAGGTGGTCCGGGATATCCGGGATTGACACTTTACTAATTTTCGGGTGGACTCTAATCAATGTTGCTAGGGCCTCCATAACTATCACGAAGAGAAGAGGTGCAATGGAATCCCCTTGACGTACCGACCTCTGCAATGTTATCAACAATGAAAGATGGTCATTTGAGCATTATGTTTGTGGTAGCCGATCTATGAAGAAGCAGCAGCCAGTGGCAGAAATCGAGACCACATCTCATTCTCACCAGGCACATATCCAGAAAGTCCTAATCAATGTGGTCATACACTTTCTCGAAGTCTATAAATAGAATAGCCGCTTGGGCCCTGCGCTGGCGTGCGTACTTGATGGTCTCGTTGACCAAAAGGATGTTGTCCTGAATATTGAAGTTAGGCATAAATCCTGTTTGGTCGGGGTGAATCAGCATGTTCATGTGTGGCAAAAGACGGATGGTGAGTGCTTTGGCCACCAGTTTGTAGGGGACCAGGAGAAAGGTGATAGGTCTATAGTTCCTTATGTCCTCCTCGTTTCCCTTTTTGTGAGGAGTGTGGTCATTCCTTGACCAATCATGGCCCCAAAGGAACCCTCCTTTTTGACAACTATTATATAGTCCATCAAATTGTCCTTGAGGAGGTCCCAAAAGTGCATCTAGAATTCCTTTGGGAAAGAATTAATCCCCGGCGTCTTCTCTTCCTCTACATCTTGCAGGGCTGCCCATATTTCATCCGGTGAGAGTGGATTATCCAGGTCAGTTTTTTGTGCTGGTGTAAAGCGTGATTGCACGGCCTGATGTAACTCGTCCCTGTCTTGATGGTTTTCGGTTTGAGATGTGAACAAGTCTTTCTAGTATTTGGCGGCGTGGTCAGCTATAGTATAAGCGTTTGTAGCGACCGGAGCAGTATCATCCAGGGGGTGTGTAAGCCTGGGGACAGTAGAGGCCCTCGTTCAGGCTTTCGCCTTGTTTTTTTTTTTGTTTTTTTTTCCCCTCCAGTCCCCCCAGCCTCGGCCCACCCTGCTACTGGTATTGCCAGGCTCGGGAGGCTCGGCATACCGGTCGCCGGAGGGTTGGATGGAGGGTAGGACTGCATAGCTGGGGGAGGTGCTGATGGTACCTCGCAATTGTTGCATCCGTGTGTTCCCGTCTGATTCTGGCGGTCTGGCTTGTATCCTCCATGCCTGTGCCTGTCTTTCTGAATAGGGTTGGAGGTGGTCCCTCCCCTCTTGCAACTTTTACAAAGGAGGGGATGTGCAGGGGGTCGCTCATAAGTTCCTCATCCCAGTCTTCAAGTTCTTGCAATTCTCTTGCTCCATGCCGTCAATGGTCATATCTCAAGGCCGTCACCTTTTTTTTTCAAATTTTAAAATAACTACCCGCGGATAGTCGAATCTCCGATGTTTTTTCGCGCCGTCGGCGTTTTGCCGCAGTTGCATCAGCTTGTTCAGCTTACTTCATTGCCCTGGTCAGCATCCCCTTGGCCAACGTAGTCGGCCCTGTGTCAACGCGTTGGCAAATGCAAAAGGCAGCCTCGTTCCGGAGGCGGCTGGGGAGATCGGTTTTTAGAGCTGAGGTTCGCCAGCGTCGTTAGGGGGGGTCGCATTCCCCCGGCATCTCTCTCTCTCTCTCTCCCCCCTCTCCCCCCCCTCCTCCCCCCCCCCACTCTCCCTCTCTCTCTCCCTCTCAATCTCTCTCTCTCTCTCTCTCTCTCTCTCTCTCTCTCTCTCTCTCTCTCTCTCTGTGTGGCGTTGTCGCTCTCTCTCATTGGGCATGCAACCCACGTGCAAACCAACGCGAGTAAAAGGGGCGACGTAGAGAGAGAGAGAGAGAGAGAGAGAGAGAGAGAGAGAGAGAGAGGGCATCTGCATCGTTACAAAAGAGGCCATGGCTAATCGAGCGGGGGCAGAAAATGGGTACAAGGCTCCTCCATGGATATTCACAGGAAGGTCGGTCGGCATTATCACTTCCACTCAATTTCTCCTTCTCCTTCTCCTCCTCCTCGTCCTCTTCTTTTTCTTCTGCTGCTTTTTCGTTGTCGTCTTCTTCTTCTGCGTCTGTTTTCTCCGTCGTTCGTTCTCTCGTCCTTTGTTTCTTTTTCCCGTCCTCTTCTTCTTCTTTCCTCATGAAGGTTACCATTCTCGTTGCTGTGGTGACTTTCTTTGCCCCTTTTCCAAGTTTTGAATTACTATTATTACTAGTATTATTATTATTATGACTATCGTCATTATCTTTCTTTTTGTTTTTATATCTTGGGCACTTCGCCTACTGAACCACGCACGATTGCGAACCTTGAACATTATCCGGTTGTGATACACAGTATTTAGTCTATGTTTCGTCTCCTATGTCTGATTGCCTTCATCTTTTTGCCCCTGCCTGCCCGCTAATTTTCACATCTGCTTGGCAAGCGCGCTGCTAGTCCACACTCATAGCTATGCGTTTCTATCAAACATGCTGTTATGTTTCTTCTCCTACGTCTGCCCCTGCGTGCCAATTTTCACATTTGCTGGCAAACATGCTGTTAGTCCATACCCATAGCTATGTGATCCCATCTATCTATCTATTATCTATCTATCTATCTATCTATCTATCTATCTATCTATCTATCCTCCTCTACTCTACTCTACTCTACTCTACTCTACTCTACTCTACTCTACTCTACTCTACTCTACTCTACTCTTACTCTACTCTAATCTAATCTATCTTATCTTAGCTATCTTATCTATCTAATCTAATCTAATGTAATCTAATTTAATCTATCTTATCTTAGCTATCTTATCTATATATCTATCTATTTATCTATCTGTCTATAATCTGTCTACGTTTGTGTATCTATATATGTGAATGTATCTACATAACAGGGGGAGTTGTAAGGAAGAAGATAAAAAACCGAATTCATTTTTTTCTTTTTTTCTTTTTTCTTTTTTTCTCTTTTGCGCTCTGATATTCATGTGATGATATATATCTGAATCTATGTAGATATATACTTATATTATGTATGCCTATATATCTACATCTAGAAACCGGAAAAAGGGCATATAACTTATATTATGTATGCCTATATATCTACATCTAGAAACCGGAAAAAGGGCATATATACATGTCATGCACTTGGAGCAACGAAAGGAGCCGAGGGGGAATATGACAGGAACAGTAGAAGGCGCTTTGCTTCAGGAAAGAGGTATCGACAGTGAGACAGGGCGATGTTCTTCCTTCCGTGGGCCATCAAGGTCCAATCATTAGTCTCGCCATTTACTATCACATGGGCTCGAAACGCCAATGCATAGCTAACTCCAAATGTTACCCAAGCAATGAAATGAGCAGACCAGCACTCAGAACATGGGTGGGAGGGGAGGACAAGAGGCGAGGGGGCGGCTGCATATTCAAGGGGGTTGAGGCATAAGGAATTTCTTTTTCTCTCGAAAGGTTAAGAAAAAGACGGGAAAGAAGAAGTAGAGAAATCATTCATTATATTCAATGTTTCCCCCCCGCCCCCCCCCCCCCCCCCCTTCTTCCTTTGATTGATTATGTAATTGGTGTTGAGGCACAAGGAATGCGTATCACTAAGGGGAAAGGAAAGGACGGGATAGAAGAAGTTAAGAAAAGAAAAAAAAAGAACCGAAATGAAGAGAAGAAAAACCATCCTCGAATCACCGCAAGAAAGACCCCCCCCGAAAAAAAGGGTAAAGCTTTGAAATACGGAATCGCGGATTGTCAACGAAAAACGAGAGAGTCATGAGCTGAATAGTCGAACGTGGTGGCAGCGGGCGGAGGGGAAGAATAAATAGGAGAGACAAGTTGATTGGAATGGAAGAGGCGGGAGATCATTCGAGGCGTCTGAACCTTAAAAATGACCGCTGCGGTGTTCGCCTATCCGTTGTCACATACACACACACACACACACACACACACACACACACACACACACACACAGAGACAGACATATATATATCGTATATATTGTCACAAACGTCCTGCTGTTTTTTTTAGATGTGGACAGCATGTCCTTTGTCAGGACTGTTTGATGGGATGGGATGGGATGGGATGGTCCGTGCTCCGTGTATGGAGGAGGGACGGAGAATGCACAATCTGGCATGTACATTGCGGCGTTTCTCCTCTTTCTGCGTCTTCGTCTGTGTTACACACCCTATTCCCCCCTGTCCTCTCTACGTTCCTGGTTCACGAACAGCAATGTCTTTCGTCGCATTCTTCGGTCCGTTAGATGACTGTTCCGTTAGGTGACTGGCCCGTTAGGTGACTGTTCCGTTAGGTGACTGGCCCGTTAGGTGGCTGTTCCGTTAGGTGACTGGCCGTTTAGAGGACTGTTCCGTTAGGTGACTGGCCGTTGAGAGGACTTCCGTTCGAGGACTGTTCCGTTAGGTGACTGGCCCGTTAGAGGACTGGCCGTTTAGAGGACTGTTCCGTTTGAGTACTGTTCCGTCAGGTGACTGGCCTGTTAGAGGACTGGTCCGTTAGGCTGCTGGCCCGTAGATGAATGGTTTGTTAGGTGACTGGCTCCGCAATATCCCGGAACGTGATTACCTGATTAACTCACGTGATTATCCCCATGAGTTCTTGTTTATCCTGATCCGTTCCGTCGCTGACCTGCATCCTCTCCCTATATTTTTATGATGCAGATCCATTCTAATGTCGAGCAGCGATCTGTGATGAGATCACATTGCAATAGCAATTTAATGTCATGATTTGTGTTGATGTCATGACACTTCAAAAAGTGTAACGACGAAGATACCAGTATGTTGACGACGGCGATGTCCCTTAGGATGCTGTTGATGAACATGCCGTTGGCGGCGATGATGATGATTGATGAGATTGGTGGTGATGATTAGCATCATGGTCTTGATGATGGTGTTGGCGGTGAAGATCACATCATGATCATCACGATAATACGTAAATGGTCATGATAACTAGTAGTACGAGGAGTAGGAGGAGGAGTAGGGAGGAGGAGGAGTAGGAGAAGGAGGAAGAGGAGGAGGACGACGAGGAGTTCGGGTTCTAAGTATGTAGATCGAATCGACGAGGAAGAGAAGAGAAAGGATCACAAGGGCCTGCTGACGGACACGTCAGCCGCTGACAGGAAAATTGTCAGCGAATTTTTTTTTTTTTTTTTGGTCAGCGAATGGATTTTTTTTTTTTTTTGTCAGCGAATGGAATTGCGTGGATCGGGGGCAAGAAGATGATGTTCTGTCTGACGTGGAAATACCAGCGTCTGACGTGTCCGACGTGCACATGCTACCGTCTTCCCCCGAATAGAACGTGCGGTCATTATAGCTGCTGAGTGTGTCCGTGCACATGCTACCGTCTTCCCCCGAATAGAACGTGCGGTCATTATAGCTGCTGAGTGTGTCATCCAGACCGTCGATTATAGATTTCCCTCTGGCTCTATTCTTCCGTTCCTATGCCGTTGTCCTCATCTCATTATCGATCCGTCAAAACCGCCATTCCTTGTCATCATCAGCCAGTCCACCGGCTGCCGCCGCCATCGCCGCCATCGCCGTTATCATGATCGACCAGCCAGTCCTTCCACTGCCGCCGCCATTGCCGCGATCGCCGTCATCATGATCGATCAGCCAGTCCTTCGACTGCCATTCCCGGCATCATGATCGATCAGCCAGTGTGCCGATTGCCGCCGCCATCGCCATCATCATGATCGACCAGCCAGTCCTTTCACTGCCACCGCCGCCATTGCCGCCATCGCCGTCATCATGATCGATCAGCCAGTCCTCCGACTGCCGCCGCCATCGCCATCATCGTGATCGATCAGCCAGTCCTTCCACTTCCGCCGCCATTGCCGCCATCGCCGTCATCTGCTCTGTCATCGACCAGCCACAGCATCTCTTGAGGACAGCAGACCTCTCATCAGACGACCGATCTCAGTCGTCCTTTACATCAACGGTCTTCTGCAAACTGGACACCCTTTCACATTGATTTCGAAAAAGAGATCGCCGTCCTTTCCCGCCTTTTTCGCCTTTCGCTCTACCAAAGAATGCATCTTCTCTTGCATGTCACCGTCAACGTATCCCCTCTCCGCATCGCGGCCACCATCGCCACCATCGCCACCATCATCGTCATCATCATCATCTTCAAATCTGCCATCCTTCCTCACTCATCTTCTGCAATCCCACCGTCCGTTCCCGCCATTTTGCCACATTCCCTCTTTCTTTCTTTTTTTTTTCTTTTTTTTTCCGTTTTCTTTTTTCTTCTTTTACATTCACTCTTTTCTAGTCTCGGCCTCCTCTTCGCTTCCTCCTGTTGCCCCTGCCCCGCGCCGCCCCCCTATTCCCCCCCCCCCCCCCCCCCCCCCCTCCCCCCCCCCCCCCCCTCTCTCCCAAATCCCCGACGGTCTTATTCTCTCAAGCAGGCAATGTGCGTTTGATTCCGGCAATCCCCAGGGGGGGGGGAGGAGGGAGGAGGGGGGGGAAGGAGGGCGGGGGGACAGAAAAGGAAAAAATCGAGAAATTGCGGACGAATCATGCAAAGTGCTTGGCTTAGCAAATAAAAAACTCGGAAAAAACGATAAAATAAGAAAAAAAGAAAATCGCTCACTGAACCGCCGCCGCCATACCATTTCCCAACCTGCTTGTCACACCTTTTCTGACCCTAAACCAAATCTCCATATTTCTTACCCCTGTCTCTTGTTCCCTTTCCTCATCGCTCTCATCATCCTCTCCTTCTTATCCCATTTCTTAAAAAAAAAAAAAAAGAAAAAGAAAAGGGCGACGGGCCCGAGATATCATCATTGAACTGACCGGCCCCAGGTAATTCAGAATGATTTTATTCTGGTCATTTGACTGTATCTGGATTCGAACTTGGGTCTGATTCATATTTCAACAGTTTGTGGGTGTACCAACTGAGCTAGGCTAGTTGGTATCCTATTTCACTCATCACCATCGCTCCACTTCTCACAGCCCACGTGTCCAACCTGCATCTACACAACGTCTGACGTGTCCGTCAGCGACCATTCCCGACGACAAGGGTGAGAAACGGATACGTCAGACGCTGCTATGTGTCCACGTCGGAGACGTCAGACGCTACCGTCTTCCCCCGAATAGAACGTACGGTCATTATATCGGTATCTAGACTGAAAGGTTGAACTAGTGGGGACGGTCTGGATTATGACGAAAGACGGAGAGAAGAGTGTGACGAGGGAAAATCGCTGCTGCTGCTGCCCAAATGAACAGAAGTAATCAAATTGTCAACCGTTTCACAAAATCTATATCATTATTTGTATTAGATTTTGTATTAGATAAGGTAGATAGATAAATAAGATAGATAAGATAGATAGATATATAAGATAGATGTCATGATTAGATTAGATTAGATTTGATAGATAAGATAGATTAGGTTAGATTAGATTAGGTAGATCAGATTCGATTAGGTACATCAGATTCGATTCGATTCGATTCCATTAGATTAAGATTAGATTAGATTAGATTAGGTAGATTTGATTGGATAATGATGGATTAAGCAGCGGGACTCATATGTCATGATTATATTAGATTGATAGATAAGATAGATTAGGTTAGATTAGATGTATGCGATTAGATTAGGTAGATCAGATTCGATTAGATATATCAGATTCGATTCCATTAGATTGAGATTAGATTAGGTAGATTTGATTGGATAATGATAGATTAAGCATCGTGACTCATAGATAAATTGTACGAAGTAATCAGCGGGTTTAAATGCTCGTGCTGGTTCTGCTGGTATGTCAACATTGAGAAAAGTAATCCCCAACCGACCATACCAAGGAACCAATCAACGATGCAATCAGCGTATGAACCAATGATCCTATCAACGAACCATGGATTGAACTAATTAACGAGGCAGTTAATGATCCAGTCAACCAGCCAGGTGATAAGAGATTTGGGAATTTTTTTTTATTTTTTTTTCCCGCCAAAATATTTTCCGATGTCGTTGCAGTAAAACCCGTCTCTTTATCGATATACACGAAATTGCGAAGAGAAGACTAAAAAAAACAAAATAAAAAAAGTCGAAAATATTCTTATTCATTTGCCTGTTACTGTTTTGTTTTTCCCCTCTGTCTGTGTACGCGTTGGACTTGGGTGAGGAGGTGGGCGGGGGGGGGGGGGGGGGGGGGGGGCAGGAGAGCCCGCCTGCACACATTTTGGTACATTGAAATCTGTTTGACGTCAGCAAATGATTTTGTTGTCTGTGCGATCGTGCAGAGCGTTTTATCAGATGCATTTAGTAAAGAGCGACGTCGCAAGAAAATATATCCCTAAGGAACTCAAGCTTGTGGAGGCTTTCGGGTACGTGTCACCTGGACACGACGTCACGTGTCCCCCTTCCCTGCCCAAGTGTCAAGAGCACCTCCTGGTTGCTAATTAAGATGTGGAACTATATGAGATGTGATTACCTGACTATCTATATTAATCAGGTAAAAAGCCCGAGCCCTCGTTTGCTTTTATCTATCTTTTTGTAAATTCCTCGCCCTCCCTCTCTTACCTTTCGTGCGTCTGCACTCCTACTATCTCCCTGTACAGAGCGTTCTGCAATTACGTTCTATCCCGCTCGCTGTCATTGGTCATCTCCCTCGTTTTGTAGACAGCACTGATCCCCATGTTCTGCCTCACAACCCTCTCTCTCTCTCTCTCTCTCTCTCTCTCTCTCTCTCCCCACATTCGCCGTTCTCTCACCGTCCCCTCTCCCCTTACTTCCTCTTCTCTCCCGCTCTGCCTCTCACCCTCTTCCTCCCCCCCCCCCAAGTTGCCTTCTCTCTCTCTCTCTCTCTGCCTCTCACCGTCGTCCCTTCCCTGCACATCCTTCGACTTTGCCTGCACTGTCTGTGTTCGGTTTCTGCCTTTTCCACTCGACTCACTTTGTTTTTCTTTTTTTATCTACCTTTTGTTGTAAGAGGCAACTTTTCCTCTCTTTTTTTTTTTTTTTTTTTTTTTTTTTCAAAAACTATACTCTTCTCTCAATTTTTCCTCACACTACCTACCTACCACTACTCCTACCTATAGGCATACGGGGAAACCCGTAGCATACCAGAGCCGTGTTTTTACGGCCCCTCGRGCCTGCAGGATACCGGCCAGGGGACGGCCGGTAGCACCAGGGATAAAGCGGACCAATCCCCCGTGCCTCCCCTCAGGCCCCTCCCCTACGAACATAGCAGACTCTGCTTCGGGGTAGTGGTTACCTTTTCTTTGTGTTAAAAAAAACATCCATCACCAACTGGCCTAGCTAGCTCAGTTGGTACAAACACCCCTGTACTGAACTGTTGAAATACAGACCAGGTGCTGAGTTCGTACTCCACTGGAAGCAGACGAGTGAAGTACTACAATTCTGAATTACCTAGGGCTGGTCAATTCGATGATGATATCTCAAGGCTGTCGCCCTTAAAAAAAAAGAAAAGAAAAAAAGGAACCATCCATATGGATGTCATCGGCCTGTGAGATGATAAGAGCATCCCGCAGGTTGAGGACTTGCCCCCTTTCGATGGCTCCGTTCCGTAGCTGGGCAGTGCAGTTCCTGTCGCCCTTGTGAAGGCGAACTCCCCGCAAGGATGATCGACGTATCTGGTCACATTTCCAGTTTGGTTCTGAGTACACCTTCTGTCTGCGGGAGACTCCTCAGCTCCCTGTAAGGGGCCACAATCTCACAAACTGCATTTGACTGGAGCCTCTGCCCGATCAGAGCAGAGGCAACTCCGCTAATAAAGGAAATTAATCGAAGATTGATCAAGTCCATGCTACATTTATTGTAGTGCACAACATCTATGGTTTGTGTGTGTGTGTGTGTGTGTGTGTCTATGCGAGCGTGTAACCTCCTTAAGTAATACCTCTCTTTTTGCGTGTGCGGGTGTGGTTGTGTGTCTGTGTGAGAGAGAGTGAGAGGATTGTGTGTGTGTGTGTGTGTGTGTGTGT